GGAGGAGGAGGAGGAGGAGGAGGAGGAGGATTGGTTGGAAGTGTCGGGGCCTCCTGGGGGTCCTCGCCGCTTCGGCTGGATACGATCCGAAGTCTCAGGAGCTGGTCCGAGGCCCCGTCCCAAACCTGGATGCGGCGAGCATCTCTTTTCGCCAATTTTGGCGACTGGCTCTCGGACCCAGGGCAAGCCAACACGACGCGGGGCAGGAGGCCAGCCATGTGGATGTGATCGAGAGCTCCGGGGGCCCGCGTCGCGAAACAATCAAGATGTGGTCGGTCTGGGGCAGGCAAATTCCACGGCCTCCACGGGCCCAAATTGGGACCAGTTCTTGATGGATGTCGACTCCCGGCCAGACCAGGCGGCCACATCCAGCCAGATCTGGGCCCAGAATGGGCCTGGGGGGGCTCGGTGGTGCTGGTCAAATTTTCTCTCTCCACGTGGCCAGGGGAGGGGAGGGGGAGGAGGAGGGAGGTGGAAGGGGAAGTGGAGGGGAGACGACGAGAGGGGCAGGGGTATGAGGGAGACGGGAGGGGGAGTTGCGGCTCGGAGGGCAGGAGGGGCAGGGGGAGTGGGGAGACTGGGTGAGGGGGGGGTGGAAGTGGGGGGAGGGGCGCAGGGGGAGGGGAGGGGAGAGGAGAGTGGGGAGGCGAACGAGGCGGATGAGGAGGAGGCGGGGGGAGCCCGCTGCCTGGCGAGGCGTGTTTTCTCGCCCTCGCCGATCGGGGCCCTGGGATCGGAGGATCGCACCGCATCGCCGATGCGTCGGTGATGCATCCGCGACGTCGGGATGGATCGCGCCGCGTCGGCGATGCAGGGCGGTCCCCCCGCCCCGCCCACTCCAGCCCCATTGGGGCGTCGAGGCATGGCCCTTCTCAGCAGAGAACGCCCCCCAGCCACAGGCGCGCCCTCCTCGCCGACCGAGATGCCGGTGCCGACGCAGGCGCCCTCCCCGACGTCGGTGGGCGCGATGGACGCGGACGCCAGCCTCCACCTCCTTTCTTCCTCGATCCCGATCCTCGCGAGGGGGGAGGAGGAGAAGGAGGAGGATGAGGAGGACGATGAGGAGGAAAAGGAGGATGAGGAGGAGGGGGAGGAGGAGGAGGAGGATGAGGGGGATGAGGAGGGAGGGAGGGAGGGAGGGAGGAGGAGGAGGACGGAGGAGGAGGAGGAGGAGGAGGAGGAGGAGGGAGGAGGAGGAGGGAGGAGAACCAGTGTAAACCCAAGAGTCATCAACAAAGTTGGAATGAACCCTTCCTCCAAGCTCCCTCCATAGGCCCCTACAACGGTTCATTTCCATTGAGGGAGCTGCCTCCTTGGAAGACAACTGTTCGAAGACCCTGAAGCATGCCAACAAATTGTTCTCAGGATTCCAGCGCCGCAGATCAACCTGATTGTTGCGCTTGGACGATCCTGACTCGTGCCAGAACGTCAATTATTGGGACTTTCAAATTACGCACGAATGCAATTGTTGTACCCTCATAACCCTGAATCCTTTCAAAACATCACTTCTGGTATATTGATCATGGGAACCAGTGAAACTCTTGCAAGTTGTTTAACGAATGTGCGCGGAAGGCGGAAGCCACGTTTTGAAAAGGAACTGCCCTCAATCAGTGAGACGCTTGCACATTTCTGAAACGAATGTGCGCGGCGCTAAGGCGAGAGGCACATTTCGAAAACGACCCGCCCTCAATCCGTAAAGCTCTCGCAAGTTGTTTCAGCGAATGTGCGCGGCGCTAAGGCGAGAGGCACATTTTGAAAACGACCCGCCCTCAATCCGTAAAGCTCTCGCAATTTGCTTCAGCGAATGTGCGCGGCGCTAGGGCGAGAGCCACATTTTGAAAACGACCCGCCGTCAATCCGTGAAACTTTGTAAATTGTTGAAACGAATGTGCGCGGCGCTAAGGCGAGAGCCTCATTTTGAAAACGACCCGCCCTCAATCTGTGAAGCTGTTGCCAATTTTGAAGCTTCAGGGTCATAAATGGTGAGGAAGTCTCAGGCGAAACGCCCAGCCCGCCCCAAAAACTGGCCTCGGGGTGCGACAAGCAGAAACTATGAATCAGGAAGAGGATTGGAGGAGCAGTAGGAGGAGCAGGAGCAGGAGCAGGAACCAGGAGGAGACGACAGAGGAGGAGGAGGAGGGAGGAGAAACGTGATGATGATGATGATAGTGATGATGATGATGATGATGATGATGCTGATGATGTTGATGATGATGATAATGATGATGATGATGCTGATGATGATGACGATGATGATGATGCTGCTGCTGATGATGATGATGATCTTGATGACGATGCTGATGCTGCTGATGCTGCTGTTGATGATGTTGCTGCTGCTGCTGATGATGATGATGCTGCTGATGATGATGATGATGATGATGATGATGCTGATGATGATGATGATGATGATGATGATGATGATGGGGAGGAGGCGGATGAGGAGGAGGCGGAGGCGAACAATGATGATACCAAGGATGATGAGGATGATGATGATGAGGAGGAGGAGGACACCATTCTAGAACAAGAAGACATATTCCAAAAGCATGAAACATACGACGAAGCACTCGATCCAGGCTAATAGTATTACTAATGGTACACGTAAGTTTAGCAGTAATCACAATACTACTAATCTGACCACGAATATTAATAATGCGAGTGCCAGTATTAGTGTCAGTACTACTAATACTACTGTGACTACACGTACCAGTAATATCAATGCAAAGACCAACACTAAGACTACAAACACGACTACAACACTACTTAAGTAATATTGCGACTTATGCAAGCAATGTTCATATTAACGGCACTCAGGAAACGCAGCCTACGTACTACCATCAAGGCTAAACATACGATTGCTAAGACCAGTACCACTAATCATAAGACGAAACCGACTACGAATACACTTGACTACTAATCGTGATATTTATATGGATCAGATCAAGACTAGTACGACTAACAGAAAGGCACATACAGAGCATACGAGTGCGAAGTACGACGAGGGGGAGGAGGATGAAGGAGGAGGGAGGACGGAGGAGGGAGGAAGGAAGGAAGGACGGAAGGACGGAAGGACGGAAGGACGGAAGGAAGGCCAAACGAAAGGAAGGAAGGAAGGACGTAATGAAGGAAGGAAGGAAGGAAGGAAGGAAGGAAGGAAGGAAGAAGGAAAGAGGAGGAGGAAGAGCAGGAGGAGGAGGCGGAGGAGGCGGAGGAGGCGGAGGCGGCGGTCGAGGAGAGGAGGAAGGAGGAGGAGAAAAAAAGGAGGAGGCGGAGGAGGAGGAGTCGGGAGGAGGAGGAGGAGGGGGAAGAAGGGGAGAGAAGGAAGAGAGGAGGGAGGAGGAGGAGGAGGTGGGGGGGGAGGGGGAGGGGGAGGGCGAGGAGGAGGAGGAGGAGGAGGCGGAGGAGGAGGAGGAGAAAAAGAGGAGAGAAACAAAAGGAGGATGTGGGAGGAGTACTGTGGAGGAGGAGGAGGAGGAGGAGTCGGAGGAGGAGGAGGAGTAAGAGGAGGAGGAGGAGGATTGGGAGGCGGGAGGCGGAGGAGCAGGAGGAGGAGGTAGGATGAGGAGGAGCTAGGAGGAAGGAGGAGGGAGGAAGGAGGAAGGAGAAAGGATGAAGCAGGAAGGAGGAAGGAGGAAGGATGAAGGATGAAGGAGGAAGGAGGAAGCAGGACGGAGGACGGAGGAAGGAAAAAGGAGGAATGAGGAAGGAGGAATGAGGGAGGAAGAGGGAGGAGAGAGGAAGGAGGAGGAGGAGAGAGTTGGAGGAGGAGGAGGAGGAGGAGGAGGAGGGAGGGAGGACGGAGGAACGAGGAAGATGAGGAGGGAGGAAGAGGAGGAGGAGGAGGAGGAAGGAGGAGGAAGGAGGAGATGATTTTTTCTTGCGCGGAGGAAGGAGGATGGAGGCGGGAGGGCGGGCGGGCGGCGGGCTCCCCGTGTCTGTCGACTGTCGCCCCGTCGACGTCGGCAGCCACATGCCGTGCCTCCCGCCCCACCATATCAGTCACTGCATCGGATATTGTTCTTGTTATCGTTGATGGGCAAGTTTTCCACCACCACTACCATATGTAGGACGGGGGAGGAGGGAGGATGAGGAGGTCCTCCTCCTCCTCCTCCTCCTCCTCCTCCGTCTCCGTCTCCTACCTATGGTGGTGGTGGAACATGGGCCCATCAATCGTTGTATTCTCGGCAGTTGTTCGCTCTCTCGCCGTCCGGGGGCTCCGGCCCCCGCCATCATGGCCGCAGGTCCAGGGAGGGGCGAGGAGATGCCAGAAGGGGTCGAGGACGATGAGTTGCTGGAGGACGACGTGGAGATGGAGGGGGGCAGGGGCTGGCCTCGGCGTCGACAGGAGCAGCGCTGGGCGGTGGGCCTGCAGCCGACCACTTCCCGCCCAGCTTCATGTCGAGGATGCGGCATCCCTTCGAGAGCCAGGAGCTGCGATTGTCTCCTTGGGGCAGCCAGGATCGAGGACGATGGAAATACCTCTCATGCGCCAGGCCCCTCGTGCATAGCGCAGAGAATCTGTCCTGCAGTGGGAATGCCACGGAAGAGCACGTGCAGGCCGCGCGGGCGGCCCTGGCTTGGCCGCCAGCCCCGCGCTCGCAACGGCAGCCGCAGGAGGGAGAGGCAAGCCCGCTGCCGCCGCCGCTGCACCGAGACTGGGACAACAGCGTGCTCCCCCACCGCGGGTGGTGGGAGCGTCTCTCGTGGCCCGCAGCCGTGCGCGTCGGCACCCCGACATTCGTGCAGGTGCCGGATCGGTTCTGGGGCGTTTTCGTGACCGCCCGCCCGAAACTGCTGGAGGTGCTAGCGGCGGCCGCCGTGAGGGGTGACTCTGAGCAGGAGTGGGAGGCGCTGCTCCTCTTCGACGCGCTGCTCACGGCCCGGCCGGCCGGGAAGGCCACCAACGCTGAGGCTCTCGAGGAACGCTTGGCGCGGTGGTGGGGAGGCCGGTGGGGCGCGCTGTGGGGGGGCGCCGTTGGACGGTCCGCGCCCCCAGCCAGGGCCGCCAGGCAGGGGCAGCTGGACGAGCAAGACAGAAAGGCGCGGCGGGTCCATGCCCTGGCCGCAGCTGGCGAAGATGGACGGGCGCTCGGGGCAGCGCGGGGCACCTCACTTACTCCGCGCAGCCGCAGCACGCCGGAGAAGGCGCGCGCTGCTTCCCCCCCCTGCCCCGCTGGAAAGCGGCACCGCTCAGCCCGGCGGCCCTCGCGGGTCCGCCCCTGGCCCAGACTTTTGGGACGAGGTGCAGGAGGAGGTCAGCAAGCTTCTCCGCGAACCACCCCAGCTGACTGCTCCAGGCTTGCTCGGGGCCCGCCTGGAGCACCTCTCCTCGGCGGCGGACGGCCCGGAGGCGCTCGCTTTGCTGGCTCAGGCGGTCGCGAAACTCACTTTCGGGGAGGTGCCGGCGCCGGTGCTCCAAGCCCTCCGGGTGGGCGAGGTGGTGGCCCTGGACAAGGGGAACGGCGACGCGCCCACTGCTCGTGGGGGCCAGCCTGAGGAGGCTCGGGATGCGCGCGCTGGCCTGGGTCAGAATAGGGAGGCTCCGGCAGGCGGCGGGCCCCCACCAGTACGGAGTTGGCCGCAGGTGCGGGACCGACCTGGTGGTCAAGCAGCTGCAGACCCAGTCCGACGCTCACCCGGAGATGGCGTTCATCAAGGTGGACATCAAGGCGGCCTTCCAGCGCATGCCGCGAGACCCAGCCATTCGGGCCATGGCTGTCCACGTGCCGGAGATAGACACTTGACAAGTGGTGCACCGGGTCCGCCAGTCCGCCAGGCACCTCCTGGCGGGGCGCAGCGGGCAACTTCGAGGAAGTCGAGAGCACCCTTGGTTTTGACCAGGGGGGCCCCCTGGCGCCAGCTGCCTTCGCGGTCGGCCAGAGGGCGGCGCTCTCCCAGCTGCTGGAGGAATTTTCGCTGCAGGACCCAGACGTGGGACTCCATGGGCGACAGCTATTTGGTGCTCCCAGCGGGGCTCGC